GAGCGTCCAGGGTGGATAGCGGGGCGCGTCCCGGGCCCTGCAGAACCTTCCGAGGAAGGACAGGGGCCCCCAGCATCTGTCCTGACTCAGTATTCCAGGACGTGCGAAAGCCAGGGGTTCGCGCTGAGACCTGAGCCTCGCGCCAGAGCCCCATCGCGTGAGTGCACATGCGCCACGGCGGCGACCCCGCCTACCGCGCCCCTTCCCCGCTTCCCCTTCCCCACCTCCCGCCACGACCACTGACCATAGTGACCGGAGCTGTCGAGCTAGGTCCCGCCCCCGCGAGGAGCGATCCGGTGCGGGAGGGCGCCGCGGGAGCCACTGGCTGGCTCCGCCGTTGGGTCGGGCGGCGGGGTCCTCGAGGGCGTGGGGGCGAGCGGAGAACACACCCGACCGCTCCGCAAACCAGAGGCGAGACCTCCACTGTGTCCCAGGAAGACACACACCCTGCGATTGATGTCTGAGGCGGGCAATCAGAAGCCGAGGCGCAGGACGTCACAGAAAGTGGGTGGGACAACACGCGCCTTCAGCCTATGTTTGAGGGTCTATTTGACAGGGTACCGCCCCCTTTTAAAGACACAGGAAGCTTTTAACTTGCGAAGGGATTAGCCCAACCTAGAAAGAGAGGTGTTCATTCGTAAGGGCTGAAGGGCTTTTGACCCAAACTGCAAATTGAGGTCTTTTGAAAGGTTAGCTGGCTCTTATTAATTCATAAACAAGGTCACATAAGTATAGTTCTCTCAAGATCAGAGGACAGGCACGTGTCCAATAACATTAACTGCCTGCCCTTGTGTGGCTTCTAAATAATATTTTACCCTCTTCCAACTCATGAATCAGTAAGTTGCCAGGCACCCAGTTAATGTGTGTTGAATGAATAAATTCCCAGGATTGTCGATTCTGGACCTTGAGAATTACATGGCTATATGTGAGGCATAGATCATGAACCAGGTTTGGTGACTCACCTGGCATACAAGCTCGTTATTACTAAACATTAAACAGAGGGATATGTATCATTTAAAGATTCATTCACCAGCCCTTGACCCCTGGAGGAGGTGCACTGAGTGAGGAAGGGAAGGCTTGTGGGGAAGGAGGCTGTAGTACACTGCATCCGCCCCTTTTCCAAGTATTAAGACTTCTGGGAGCATGTGTTAAGCAATTCCCCACCCCACTCTCACTTTTCTACCCCAGCGAGGCTCCTGGGAAGACAAACGTCTGTGTCTTCCAAGTGCTTCCAACTGTCTTCTTTACCAGGTGGGGAGTGTGGGGGCAATCGAGGCTCAAGGAGCAATAACAATAATAGCGAATTTTTATTGAGCACTTACTCTGTATCGGGCATTGTCTTAAACTTTCAACCTTTATTATCTTTCTTGATTTTCTCACAATTAGTTTATGGGGGTAGTTCCTATTATCCATCCCTATTTTACAGATGAGGAAACTGAGGTACAGGAAAGTTAAGGTACTCGGCCAAATTCACACAGCACACACAGTCCCAGGCAGGCTGACCCCAGAGCTGGTTTCGAAGTCACTTCTCTGAGGAACCGTGTATATGACTGTGGCGGGGCCTATGTCCTCCTCTCATCCTTGTTTACTTTGGGGAAGTTTCTGGTCTTTTTTATAGCCAAGGAAGCCAGAGAGGTGACAGGAGCAGCTTGGTGCTGCTCAACTAGGACAAGGCCCAGCGGGACTGGATCCCCGGGCTGCTGACCCCGCATCTAGTTCTCAGTCCAGGCTGTGTTAGGCTTCACTTGGTGGAGGAATGACTGAGTCAGGTGCGGCCCCACGGGGTGCAGGCAAGGGGTCTACCAGGGAGAAGAGGGAAGGGCTTGCATGGGTATTGCCTGGGGCCTGGTCTCAGGCTTAGCCCTGGTCAAGCCCACATCTGAGATATTTGGGGTCCCCAGGAGGAGGACCCTAAGTGAGCTTCTAGGAGCACTTATGCTGGTCATCGGTAGCCCTGAGCCCTCGGCCCACTCACCTCCCCATCTCAGGCCACACAGCTCCGAACCGTGGCAGGAACACTGGACTGTGTTTGCAGCCACCCTGGGCCTCAGGCTGGCTAGACTCTGCCACTCATTGACTGCTGTGAGGCCTCAAGTGACTTCTAGGTCCCCCCTGAGCCTCCAATCCCTCACTCGATGAAAAGATCAGACAATCTGGGGCATTAAAAAAGAAGATATTTAAAAGCTGTTTTTAGTAGTGAAGCTTTTAAACAAAACACAGTCTTACCCAGAATCTCAGTATATGTGTAATGGAATCCTCAACTACAGCTCGAATAAGCAAAGGAAAATTGCTTTTTAGTCTGTAACTATCTTTTTAGTCTGTAACTGATCAGGCCTCTTCCTGAGCTCTCTAAAGCCTGGTTAGAAAAGAAAAAAGATTTACAAAGAGTCCAGCCGGTTTTCAAGCTGGATCTGAATTGAAAATGTGAGTAGACCTTTTAGGGGCCTCCCCATGGCAGGAATACACATGTTCTGTCTGAAATGAATTGTCTCCCTTCTCCCTGCACCCCTTCTACCTAACGTCCAAGTGTCTGGGTAGAGGGGTCAGGGGATGGCTGCTACAGCCTCACAGGTTCAGAGAAGAGGGTCTTGTCCTCCAGCAACGACCTGAAGCAAAAGGACACCCTCGGCATCTGGGGGTGGGCGCTGTGGCCCGTGTGACTCACGGTCTGGCCTTTCTCAGAAGGTTGATTCCACCTCGCTCTCTACAACATGGCCCCAGCCCGCTTTTCCCATCCTCTCGCTCCCTCACTTCCCCACGTGCCCGGGACATGAGCTTAAGCGCTTGGCTTCAAGTGCCCAGCACCTTTCTCATGCTTTCCCACCTGTGAGTCTCTGCTCCTCCTGGAACGACCATCCCACAGGCTGCACTGGTCAGATCCCACCCATCCTTCAAATTCTGGCTCCTCTTCCATGAGGCCTTCCCAGATTGCTGAGCTGGTCATTAATTCTTCCGAATTTCCACCATATCATATCTGTCCTTCTCTGGTGCTGATGCCTTGTGACTGTGATTTGGAGGGGGCGGTAGGACATGGTAATTATAAGTGTGGGCTATGACATCAAGTATATTCATGTCAGGATTCCTATGGCATCGCTCCCTGAGCAAGCCAGACTTCTCTGAACCTCAGTTTCCTTGACTGTAAAGTGGGGGTATTCATACCTGTCTCAAAGGGCAATCAGGAAGACTAAGCGAGATGACCATAAAAAGCACGTGACCCTGTGATCCCATAAGTGCCCCATATATGTGGGGTTTGCTTGGCGGTTATTGGGGCCTGACTCTTGTTCATCCTTGTGTGACGAAGCCTAAAGGGGACAGTTTAAGATTTGCACGTGGCAGGAGGAGCCCCAAGGTGGTTTGTGAGTGCACTCCTGGGAAGAGATCATCTGCATTCTTCCTGGATCAAGGAACTGAAGCTCTGACAGTCCCAAGCAGACACACCCGTGTGGGCAGGAGCTGTTTTAACGCAGGTGAATTTATTTCCCTGGCACTCTTTACATTGTGCTATTTTGTGCACTTGACTTTCTCTGCCCAGGGGACCAGGACCCCAGGTTGTAAACTGCTTCACCTACTTCACGTCTGTGCAGTATGTCAGTCCCGTCCTCCTCCCCACCCCCTCACACCAAAGCCTGCAACCTTGAGCTGGAAAACTCATTGAGATACAAATTCATGTGTTGCTTCACCGTTGGGGAAGGTCAGAAAGAATCAGAGCTAGAATTAGCCCCGTTCACCTTCCCCACCCCTGCTTCAGGGAGCAGAGCTGTGGGCCAGCCCCGGAGTCGGTGGGCTGCCCTGGCTCCCACCTCCAGGGGCAAGGTTGAGAACGAGGCTTTTAGTTTTGAGAAAAGATCTTTCCGGAAAGAACAATGGGACTTGGGGGATTGGAGGCCTGGAAGATGGGTCTGGCTGAATAGGAAGAACTTTCTGGAATTGGGAAAGGAATGAAAGCAGGTGTCCCAAAGCAGCGGTCACTCCTAGCATTCCTCCTCACTCGCATGTCATCTGCCAGACCCTGAGAAAACAGGCCTGTACCTCCCGAGGGAGTTCAGCACCCTGGCCTGACTGGCAGAGACTCTTTTGTCCTTCCTTCAAGGCCCCGTGTCCGTTTGGGTGAGTGGCGTAGCGATAGGACCACAGATGGGTCATTCACCCTTCAGGGAAGACTTCCTGCGCCTCTGTGTGTCATGGGCACTGACTATGCACATCTGTGCACCACACCGGCAAAAACTGCTGCCCCCGCCTTCCCCTGCCCTACCCCGCCCAGCTTCCAAGCCAGTGAGGAGGTAACCTCCAATGTCAGCACTGGGCCACTCACCCTCACAGAGTGAGGGGAGGACAGGGAGAGAACCCCCAAATGATTAAGCTTTAATTTTCCCAGCCTAGAAAGATGGGACACTCGGTGAGAATTAATTTTAGTGGGGAAAACCAAATGGGATGTGGTATTTCTTGTACCCCGGAGAGGGTCCCCTGAGAGCCAGTTGCATGTCAGGCTGTTTTAGTTTTTCAAATGTGAGACAAGAAAATCTGAAAGAGAAATCATTTGACGAAGCTCAGTTATACCACGTCACCGCTCACTTTTTGGTGTAAGCTTGGCCCACGGCCCCAGGAGGGTAATAGATGGGCCAATTTCCCAGCTAGTTGCCCATTTGGGGGTTCCCCCAGGCCTGGGCTTGAAAGCTAACGTTTCTTCAGCTCAGATAGCACAAGTGCCTGTACCCCATGCAGGCGCCTGGGTTTGGGCAGGGAACACTCGTTGCCTTCCAAAGGAGAAGCATTGGGTGTGGTCTACATAAAGCAGAGGACAGTTGTGGGTAGTGGGGAGGGGGGCAGCCCTGAGCCTGAAGAGAGCTGCCTATTCCAGCCCCCGCCTCACCTCTCTGCTGGTGAGGTGGAGGGTGGGGCAGAGAGCCCAGCTTCTGAATGAGGCTGGAAAGTGTCCTATCTCCACAGGTTACATGGGACAGGTTACATGACCTATGTGACACGTAGCCTCTATCGGTCCCCAATGACCCCACCTCCTATGTCCACAGGAATAATCCCCTCCTCTCAAGGGTGGGCTGGGACGAATGACTCATTTGTGACAGAGTACAGCACAGCGATGGAATGTCGTTTTTGAGATTAGTTCACTCAAACACCGTGGCTTCCGTTTTGCTTGCTCTCCGTTTTCTCTCCCTTGCTGTGTTGCAAGCTGCCTTATGGAGAGGTCCACAGGGCCAGGAGCTGGGGGATACCCTTGGCCAACAGCCAATGAGGAACTGAGGCCCTCGGTCCACCAACTTGTGAGGAGTTCATCTGCCAGCAGCTACGTAGGTGAGCTTGGTAGCTGACTCTCCTCCAGTCAAGTCTTCAGATGAAACCGTATTGCTGGCCAATGGCTGGATGAAAGCCTTGTGGAGAGACCCTGAGCCAGAAGACCCAGCTAAGCCATGCCCAGATCGATGACCCACAGGAATAACAAGAGAGTCATGCCTTTT